TTTCTGCGGTCACCTTGTTGGCAAGGAATAAATGATAACGGTTCATGTTGGGCCACTGGGCCAGAAGGAGTCGAAGCAGCAACTTTTTTTTCCAGCCACCGCTGTGATGGAAAACACACAGTAGCATTCTGAGGTATAACATGCTGTGACCTGAAAACTGTCAGTGCCTGCACATCTCATAGGGAGCCACAACTCACCTAACACACATCATGGAGACGACAGTCACAGTGTACCGAGAGCGTATTTTTAGTATTGTGTTTGGCGATGCATTTCTATTGAACCCGAGTTCATTGAAAGTCAGCCCAAGAAGGAAAATTATGTACACTTTTCACTGTACTGATAGTATTGTATCATATTATTATTATTGTATCATTCGTTACACTGTGGCTGTGTTGTCTGTGTTAAGCTGCTATTGCACTGCTATTACCCTCACGGGATCAATAAAGTCTCTACCTACAGTATCTTATGTGAGAGAATGTGGCACCTCAATTAAGTTGTATCGAGGGCAGTGTGGGGACCTAGATAAGTGCTGCTGGATATACTTTCTTTTTCGTTAATCTCTGTCTTAGTCTTTAAAATCAATAGTTCTGAATTTATTACCGCGATATACCATTTCTCCCTGGAGGGAAGTCATTCTATTTTAACAAATGATACAAGAGTACAGTATCATGTGTGCAGCCATCACGCCCCCTCCCGTCCCTGCCTAAAACTACAAATACAGTCCCCGCCTTCGGCCCCCGGGTTACACTTCCTGTGCCACGAGCTTGTTTACCTGGGACGGTCTGGTCTCGTTTCCTTCTTCAGTGAGTGTGAGCTGTTTAAAATGGAGATCGGAGGCAGTTATCCGCATGGATGGGATTAAAAATCGCTGTCGATGCCGTAAACGTGACTGGCCTGGTTAACGGGAGCAAATGTCAATCAAAAACAATCCAAGGAAGAAGCTTTTACTAAAGCTGTGCATTTATTTCTACGGCGCAGTATTTTACAACGGTGTTTTCGGCGGCTGAACTCTACTGCCTTCGATCGGCGCTTTGAGAATCATGGTAGGTGTGTTTAAGGTATCCCTGTTTTTCATTGCGAGTGTGAGAGGTTGTCTGGAGTAGAGCTTTAGCGCTGTGCATGATCAGTTCTCCGGTTTGTGAAGGATATGTCTTTGGCCTTTGCTCCCGCTATTTCAGTGAATGGGGTCATGGCTTTATGTTTCTAGAATAACTAACCTCTGTCTTGCGCAACAAATAAGCGTCACTAATCGCTTTCGATTTTGTTGGAGATGTATAGCAGAGAGTCCGTCGGTCCCTTTCCCTCATTCTGTTTGGGACCGCGTACAGGCTGTTTTTTGACGCATTTAGGCGCCGGCACTATCCTCGCAGGGTCCGTGGACTCGGAGACTTAGGTGGAGGGCGATCTGCTCCGGAAAAAAAAAAACATTGCAGTGTCTGGAGAAACGATAACTCCTGCAACGATCATTATCCCGTTTGGAAATGTGTCTGGTGATTCACCGCAGTACTGTAACCCCTGAGCTGCCTTTCTCGTTTAATAAGATGGGCTCTGGAGCTAAAAAAATACAGTTGACATTTTCAAAGAAGTACAGTAGGTCCTTCCCTGTCGGCTTTCGGGAAACCTTAAAACGTATTTTGTTACGCCACTCCACAGATGCACAGTCTCGCTGTGATGGTGATGCAACATTATTAAAAATCATTCTACTAAACCGCATCCGTGTGAGACAACTGTTTCGGTATATATGATCTACGATAGACATAGAAAGAGAGCAACTATTGGCCAGATGTACCCGTGTGCAGAAGTGTGAAAAACTGAATACAATACAGCCCCGACAACGATTATAGCCATATTTTTAAATGGGCTGCAATGTCTGTGCTCGTTGGTTTTCAGGGTCACTTTATTAACAGATACATTTATTCTATGTGAATTCGTATGTTAAGTGAAAGGTGTGAGGGGAGGCAGCGAGAGTTGGAGGTCAGCTTAGTGTTTAGGGCGACAGCAGGCTGTTACAGTCCTGCAGTGGACGCTGTCCTTAGGCTTGGCAGGAAAACGCCCTGTTTGGACTGCAAACTGTGAAAGGACCTTTCGCTTTCTGTATGGAGCGACGGCGATTAATACAGTGCGGTACTTCCCGCTGGGGCACTGCGCTCCACTGCAGTGTCACAGCACAGGGGCTCACAGAGCCCGGCTGCCGAGAGAGGGAAGACGGGTGGGAAAGGCAGGCAGGTTGCGATGCAATGTGTACTTCACAGAGCCGTGTGATCGTTGGTGGACAACTGAACGTGCTTCTCTGCACGTCCCTGGAGTACGATTATTAACCTGGGGACGAAACACAAATAACTTCCTCACCTCGCGCTGATAGGAGCCCAAGCGTACGTCAGTCAGCCTGCGAGTCTGCACTTGTATTTACCTGCATGGGATTCTGGTCGCCCCCTCCAGGAGGAGGCCTCCCCTGCGTCCCTCACGGACCTCTGCCTGAGCTTCCTGGCCCACTCCCTGGAGCGGTTCTGCCTGGAGCGTGCGGATGGCTCGCTTTGTCTGCGCGAGACGCTCGTCTTCCCCCAGGAGCTTGCAGGCCAGCTCCTGCGCAAGATGGCGGTCGAAGGTAAGGGGCAAGGGGTGAGGGTGGAGGGGGGGGGGCAGTCCACCTGGACAGCAAACAAGGACAGTGGAAATAAGATTCCCGCTGCACAGGGGTTCGAGCTGAGCTCCAGGTCAGGTTTCTGCTTGGGACACCGTCTGTGGGGAGCCTGCATGTTCTCTCTGGCTGTGTGGGTTTGCTGGTGCTGCTGGGATAGGTTCCGAGTTGTTGCCGTCCTTACCAGGAATAAGCAGCTTTAGCATAATGGATATAATGGATGGCTGTTTCAATTAAAAAAAAAATGTTGAGTTTCAGCTTCCTTGGTGTAGATTCTGTAGCTTCTGAAACGTATATAGGACAGCCAAGCAGTGGACGTTATCCCCACTAGAATAACTATCCAATCGAAAAGTTACAGATCCTATTGTAGCACAGAAAGTCACAAGGTCTTCTGATTGGAATTTGCTGAAAACCATTCTGGACCACTGCGACGCTGGTTTCACTGGTCTTAAAGGTTTTTTTTTCAAGCCTGCACCCCCAGAGCAGCTCTGTCAGTGCGTCTGGTTCCTCATTTGCTTATGTATCCGGTTTTGCGTGTTTGTTTCCCTTGTTCTACAACGCTGCTTTAGCACTGTTTTTAGTTGGAAAATGTGAAAGAGGGTTTTCCTGGAGCGTCTCTCGAAACGAGATCGGTCCCTTTCAGCGCGGGGCAGGACGGTGTCGGCAGGCGGGAGGGGGGGACGCTCTCTGCGTCGTGTGTGTGTTCTTGGTCCCACTTCGGTTGTCCTCTCCTAGGGAGCACTGAATTGTTTTGTAGACGGCAGAAATGGTCCCAGAGGCAGGCTATCAGGGAAGAGGTGTCCGCGATGAGGAAGGCAGCTGTGTGGGTGGTGCAGGGAGAGTTTCTCGGTGCCGGTGCCCACGTGTGCGTTCTGCCCGCAGGCCTGCTGAACGACAGCACGGTGGGCATCTTCCGCAGCGCGCAGCACCTGCGCCTGCGCCGGGCCTTCATCCGCAGGGCCCGCATCTCGGCCGAGGCCTTCCGCCGCGCCCTCTGCCCCCACCGCCTGCTGGAGCTGGACGCGGCCGGGGTCAACGCCGACCTCACCATCGCCGACATCCTGCGCGGGCTGGCCGCCAGCAAGGAGGCGCGCGAGGGCCTGCAGCGGCTGGTGCTGACCGGCCTGACCATGTCGCTGGAGGAGCCCTCGCGCCGCTGCTTCAGCGCGCTGCCCGGCCTGCGCTCCCTCTCCCTGGCCAACGTGGACTTCTACGACCAGGGCCTGGCCGACGTGTGCGCCCTGCCCCGCCTGGAGAGCCTGGACATCTCCAACACCTCCGTCACCAACCTGGGCCCGCTGCTGGGCTGCCGCGCGCGCCTGCGCTCCCTCACCATGCACCAGATGAAGCGGCTGGAGATGAGCACGGCGCAGCTGCTGGACGTGCTGGCGCAGCTGGACGGCCTGCAGCACCTGGACATCTCCGACGACAAGCAGTTCACCTCCGACGTGGCGCGCCAGCTGCTGGAGCGGCCCGGCATCCTGCCCCGCCTGGCCTCGCTCGACGTCTCGGGCAGGAAGCAGGTGACGGACGCCGCCGTGGTGGCCTTCGTCCAGCAGCGGCCCGCCATGCAGTTCGTGGGGCTGCTGGCCACCGACGCCGGGTTCTGCGACTTCCTGTCCGGCGAGGGCACCCTAAAGGTGAGGAAGGGGCCCGCGCTTTCAAGCCAATCCCCCCTGCTCGGTTCAGGCCAGGGTCGTCGAGTGACTGACCCTCTTGCTTTATTAAGACCTCTGCAGACCGCTGTTCCTGTGCTCGGTGGCCGGTTTCAAAAGGGCTCGGCTGCAGATTTGCTGCTTCACAGCAGTTTGGTAACCTGAGCTCTTGTCCTTGCTCTCCTCAACTGCCTTACGGAGTAGGTTATCAATTACGATCACTTTATTATATTAGCCCTATACAATTTCTTGCATTAGGAATTTGACTTTTCGCATACACCAGCTTGCTCTCCATGAGACACACAGACAGGGAGAGAAGCTTGGGGTCGGAGCGCCCCTGGAGCAGCTGGGGTTAAGGGCCTTGCTCAGGGCCTCTGCCCACTGTGGGATTTGAACCGGGAACCTTCCAGCCACAGGCGTGGATCCTTACCCACAGAGCCACCGCTCCACCCCATTGGCTGCCGCCTTATGTCTCCTGAATCAGTGCTTAATAATTAGACGATCGATTAATCAGGTCCTGGCAGGGGTGGGAGAGAGTCTGACATTGATTGGCAAGTTCTCTAAGTGATGAAGAACTCGGCTGCAGTGACAACCAGGGGAGACGGAGGAAGACCTGGGCTGAGGACCGCTGACGTAGTTCAGAAGGTCTCGGCAGGTACCTGAAAGGTGTTCAGCTGCTGTACTCTAGAGACCTGGTACACCGCCTACACTTCAAGGCGATACAGTCTGCATCAGGTTGTTGGCTCGTTTGCTAAGGAGTGAGACGGACTGCGTGGGGATTAAAAGCTGGCCTGTTTCTCTCCGGGTCCCACCAGGTGACGGGGGAGGCCAACGAGCGGCAGATCTGCGAGGCCCTGCGGCGCTACAGCGAGCGGGAGTGCTTCGTGCGCGAGGCACTGTTCCATCTCTTCAGCCTGACGCACGTCATGGAGAAGCCGCGGCCCGACATCCTGAAGGTGAACGGGGGTCACGCGCACGGCCTGGCTGTGTCGAACGGGGTGGGAATCGTGTGTGTGTGTGGCACAGCACCAAGCATGAAAAGGAGCAAACACTAACACATCTACATCAGGTCCTGCGTGGTGCTCAAAGTCAGTGTTGTGGGGAAGTGGATTGTGCCACTGTGTGTGTGTGGGGGGGGGTTATTTGTGTTTTAATATTTGATAATGCAGTACTGGTTCCACATTTAACATAAAAGTACTTTGGCATCTTGCACTTTGAGCACATAGAGTAGCCTCTATAGTTCAGGATCTTAATGTGAACTCTGCCCCTGAAAGCTCACTAAACAAGGACATAGAATCATAAACTCCTGCGAGGGAGTCTTCCTGATCCTCCGTCACCTTGTCAAGCAGTGCACGCTGAGCCCTGTGGCTCCGCCGTCACAGGTTTGAGTCCAGGCTGCCCCCTAGTGGCCGAAAGAACTGCTGGGGATGTGTAGGCGTGAGCTGGCCAGGTTGTTCTCCTCTTGCCACATGGCGCCCGTGGGTTGCGGTGTCATTAAGACACTCGTTGATCCCCCCAGCTACTGCAGAGTCTCCCGTGAAGCACGTGGAGCTCTCAGTGTCTTCAAGATGACATGGCCGACGGCCGGGGAGGAGGGGGGGTCCGCACTGCTTGCACACAGGTCCTCTGGGCTGTGAGTGTTCAGGCAGTGAGCTGGCTGGTTGAACAGTCTGCACTTTGGGGTTGTAGGGAGGAAAAAGAAAGGATGATTCCAGACTGAGCTGTGTGTTAACTCATTGCCGGCCGGCCGGTCTGTCTGTCTGTCTGCGCAGCTGGTGGTGGCCGGGATGCAGAACCACCCGATGACCCTGCACGTCCAGCTGGCGGCGAGCGCCTGCGTCTTCAACCTGACCAAGCAGGACCTGGCGGCGGGGATGCCCGTCCGCCTGCTGGGCACCGTCACGCAGCTGCTGCTGGAGGCCATGAGGAACTTCCCCAACCACCAGCAGGTACCGCCTCCGCTGCTCAGGCGCGGGCAGTGTAAGACTCTTGAGGGGGTGGCTCTTGTGTGTGCTCGGAGCCTGCGGGCGCAGGGAGAGTTTCCCTCATCACTCACGTCAAGCACAGATACCCCAGCCGCTCTGTCAGCTGCATGCACACTGCTCGCTGCTGCAGGCTTGGCTTCGTACACTCGCAGGCTTTGATGCGTGTATTGAACCCAGGATGCTGTGCATTGGTTCCAGCGTGTCCCACAGGCACATGTTCAGGGTCCAGGTCTTGAGCAGGACAATCGTGGCTGAACTGTCCCGTTCTCATCTCTCAAGTAAGCCAATGAGACTCTGCTTGCTCCAGCACACCGATGGCACAAAGCTTCCATTTTCTTGATAAACGGGACATATTGGGTTTTTGTATTGTAACTTTCCAGATCTTCACCTGGCTTGACATCCAACAGGTTATATGGACTCATCTATGGACTCGGCAACGGTCCGAGTCACACGAGTGTGTCGCAGTCCAGTCTAACCCATACCGCACACAGGCCGGTGTTGTACACACATATACTCGCGCGTAGCCGAGAGACAGTCCTCTCTGTCCCACACTCACTAGTCCTTCTCAGTGACAGCTTGTGTTGCCTTTCCTCTCCAGCTGCAGAAAAACTGCCTGCTCTCTCTCTGCAGCGACAGAATACTACAGGAGGTGCCCTTCAACAGGTGAGCCCAGTTGATTAGTTCATCTCTATCCAGTCAGTCCCAGCCAACGCTAATCCACCTCTGACCAGCCCTGTCCAGCCCAGCTCCTGCCTTTCTTCCGGACACCTCACTGTATCCACACCATATACCTCCTTCTAGTTTATGTATTTCCATATATCTTGTACCACTTCAGAGTTAACCATTTTAGCCTTCGAGGAGATCAGGAGGGAACCTGATCCAGTTATTCAAAATCCTCTAGGGTGTTGACCGTCGACCCAGCAGGCTCCTTCAGAAACAGCAGTGAAACATGAACCAGAGGACTCAAATGAAAATAACATAGATGTGCATTTAAAACCAAGAATAAGGGACACGTATTCACACAAAGGCTTCTTAAAGTGTCGAACAAGCTGTACAGCCATGTTGTAGAAGCCAGTACTTTGGCATCTTTCAATAAACAGCTCGAAGAGATCCTCAGATCAATTCGGTACCAATTGGCCTAATTTACGTTCTCCTGTTGCACAGGTTTGAAGCTGCCAAATTGGTGATGCAGTGGCTGTGCAACCATGAGGACCAGAACATGCAGAGAATGGCTGTAGCCATCATCTCCATCCTCGCAGCCAAGGTGAGCTGAGCTGAGGAGAGGCAGTGGGTGCCAATAGGGCGAGGGGAGCCCGGGGGAGGGAGACGCGTTGGCCAATGGGGCGAGGGGAGCCCGGGGGAGGGAGACGCGTTGGCCAATGGGGCGAGGGGAGCCCGGGGGAGGGAGACGCGTTGGCCA